TATTTTACCAGAAGTTACGATGATCTGAATTGTGAATCAACAAATGTCGTTTACGGATTAAAGTGTAACCTTTGCGGATTGGTATAAGTCGGTGAAACGAAAGGAAAGCTAAATAAACGTATGTCCGGCCATACATCAGACATCAACCACAGTGCAAGCGACAGTTTTTACCACCATTCTAACCAGCCTGATCATTCAATCCTTTCTATGCAAGTTCGCAAAACCGTAAAATATACCACAGGAATAACAATCCTCATATTGCAACACCTCTCCGTAGACAAAACGAAGACTACTGGATTCGACCATTGGGAACTGCGACACCATATGGTTGCAATGACAAAATTGATGGTATAGGTATTCTATCTAGTCCTTCCTGTAGCTCGGTAAATGTGAAGAACATTTTCAACTCTACTCCTCGACGTAGACGCAGTCATGGTCATCGTCATTATACATCATTTACTCTCCATAATGTCTCTATTAATGTTTAGAATGCATACAATCTAAGACTCTTTCATCTTGAAATAGTATTAAAACATTTGATTTCTCTGCACTTTACACAAGTATTCCCCATTCCAAACCAAAAGACAGATTGAAAGAGTTGGTTCTGCTTTGTTTCTTAAAAATGAATGACCAACGTAGATACAAGTATCTTGTCTAAGTTAGGGATAAATCCTACTTTGTAAAAAATCACTCTGATTCCAACAAAAATTCTCCGAAACTGACATTATCAAGATGTTTGATTTCTTGATTGACAACATATTTGTTACGTTTGGAGGACGTGTTTTTCAACAAACAATCGGCATTCCCATCAGAACGAACTGTGCCCCTCTTCTTGCCGACTTGTTCCTTTATTCATATGAGGCTGACTTATTATGAAAAAAGAAAAGAAGTTAGCAATATCCTTTAACTTTACTTTCCGCTATAAAGATGATGTTCTCTCACTAAATAATTCAAAGTTTGGTGACTATGTTGAACGAATCTATCCCATCGAACTTGAAATAAATGATACAACAGATACAGGTAAGTCTGCCTCATATCTTGACTTACATCTAGAAATTGACAATGAGGGTCGGTTGAAAACAAAACTTTACGACAAAAGAGATGATTTCACCTTCCCAATTGTGAACTTTCCCTTTCTATGTAGCAACATTCAAGCAGCGCCTGCATACGAAGTATACATCTACCAGTTGATACGATAATCCAGGGCTTGTATTTCCTATCATGATTTCCTTGACAGAAGTTTGCTGCTAACAAGGAAGCTTTTAAACAAAGAGTTCCAAGTGGGGAAGTTGAAATCATCCCTTCGTAAGTTTTACGGACGCCATCACGAGTTGGTTGACCGTTATGGAATATCCGTTTCACAGTTGATGGCGGATATGTTCCTGATATTGTAACCACAATCCCGTCCCCCTTTTCCCGAATGTGACTTACCGAATTAGACATTACCGGGTTTGTACTAACTTGAGCAACATGACGGGTACCACATGTGGAACAGGATCTGCTTACTCTTCCGGAACACTGAGATCACGCCAAGTTTTTGGTGGGGTTCGTGTTGCTAAGTCTTTAGTTTTCTATGTTGTGTTTTGTGTACTATTGTTGGTCTTTATTCTTTTTTAGCCATGGCGTTGTCAGTTTATTTTCGACTTTGAATGTCCCTCTGGTATCTTTCGCCTCTCCTCGATAACATTTAAGACTTTGGAGAATTTTCAAATAGTTTTATAATAAGAATAACCTCTTATGTGTCTCATTAACTCTAAATAGAAATCCTTACCGATTTACATACGATACTTTTAAAAGTGTATTAAATCTACTAATTGATTATCAAAAGCCGTAAAAAGAGCGTGTTGGGCAAATAAAACGAATTAATTTCGAAGACAAAAGTGAAATTATAATTATTTATTCTAAAACACGTGCTTCAAGAAAGTCTAAAGGTCTTCGCTTGTGATGTGGTTCACATTCTTGCATACTAGATGAGTTCTGGTCTAACAGATGACGATAACATAGGTATTTTACTCTTAATTACGCTAATGAAAATCTTGAAAATGACATGAAATATATCTTTTTATTGATATTTATAAATAATGCGGCTTTTCAGTCATCACATGACAATATGAATTTGCTAGATACTGCCTCAGTTTCTGTGTGTTATTGTTTTACGAGAGGTATTTAGATGAGTTTCTTTTCATAAAACACATATTTTAATGTGTTTTGTCAATGAAGTTATGTTATCTTAGGTTTGAAAAATAACTTCATATCTGTGAACAGCGAACAGCCTTCATTATTTTTTTAACAGAGGCATTCGATCGAATGTTTTTAATTATGTCCGATTTTACCATTCAAATGATATACAATGGTTGAACAGTTTCAAAAAGAATTCAAGAATCAGTGTGAAAAACACCATCAAAACATAGTCAAGCAATCATATCATTTAAAAATAAACAAAAGTTCAGACTTCGCTATGAATAAAATTGAGATGTGTGACAAATGTAAATGCCTGAGGGAAAAACCAAAACCAATTAAACAAAGAAACAAATGTCAAAGAAAATAATGTCACCAGCAAACCGCTTCGGCATTTTTGAGTTGATTTATTTAAAAAATGGAATATAAAACATAGCCGCCAGAGGTTTTAATAATTATTTTGACAATTCCCTTTGAAACTAAATGGACATTTTTTTCTTTTGTTTTGTTAATGGATTTTAAGATCTCAAAAGATTGACATTGGTTCTATTCAAATATATATCGCCTTAATAGCACTCATTGAAGTCTACGGAAAATCGTTTGGGTTTGAAGTGATTCAGCATATCTTAATTAACATGATGAGACTACATTGATTAGTTGTTCTAACAATCATTTTTTTTACAACTGATAAAAAATAGCAATCAACAGAACCTACTGGTCAATTTCAAATACCTTTGACAGTATTTCATGACAAATGTGATTGATTTCAACTCTCCAATTGTGAACGTCCAATTTCTTAGTAGCAACATCATCCTCTGTGCCTAGTATGGCATATCTCAATTAAAAACTTTAATTCGTGCTTGTTCATACTTTACGGACTTAATTAAGAGGGGTATACTGATAACAATAACACTGCTCCAACGTATGAGGACGAACAACTGAAATCGACATTTCAAAACTTTTACGGTCACCATCACATTATGGTTGACTTATACGAGGTGTCTGTGTCTCAATTAACTAGTGACATGTTTTCAATGTCTTGGATCTTTAGATACCAGAGAAGACGTCTGTAAATTTACAAATTGTGTCCTATTCTCGCTTGATAAATTTTGACCTGGTGTGAATTCGCATGGCGGGTTATGCATGAGGTTTACCCTGTCGACGCTCTCAATAATATTTGAGTTCATGCGATTCTCTCATATTTTGTTTTTAACTTTGATTTGTATCTTCTGATTGGATTGATGAGATTTGAACATCAACAAATTATTGTTCTCTTTCCTCTATTTTAAATAGCCAAATGATATAACATACAAGAATGATATTTGATTCTTATTTTGTATATACACTGAAGAGACATTAATTGTCGAAATCCGGATATGGTGTACAAAAACCTTTGCACCTTTTGTTTGCGGTATACCATCTTTTCCGCAAGTTTATTGTTTTCTGTTTAGTATTTAATTTATAATTAAGATCCATTTATTACATCGGTGATCCGTTTATTTGGCAATCGCCAATGGCAGTCAGCAGGTTTTAAGAACATTTGTTGTTCGACCTGTTAGTCAAATGCGTTTTGTTAAAATATACTTTTTCACTTTTTTGGTCTTTTGGAAAATGTTGTTTGTGCTGTATTAAGACCCCTCTAACAAGAAATTTGTTTTGCATGCACACGTATAAAAATGCGGTTTTTATCCAACGCAATCATAGGTTTGAACGTTGTTTTCAATTTAGACTTGTATATATATATATATATATATATATATATATATATATATAGAGTCTATAACAATCTACCAACCAGTAAACTTAATAGGTATTGGATCATCAAAATTGATAATACTACACAAACAGGGAAAATTATATGAGCACATGAATATCCTTGTGATCGAACAGGATTGTACATGGCAAAATAGGCAAAGAGAGAATCGGGAGAAGTTTTGGATAAAAACACTGGGTGTCCTCCATCAAGATGGAATCAATAGAAAGAAATAATTAATTTACAGTCTAATGTTTATATTATGATATTCAGGATTTTGGATTAAAATCAATCGACCAAAATTTACCTGTATTATTACTGATCTATGTTTACACCTTAAACATTATATATCAGTATTGTTAAAACTTTTAACACTGAGGAAGGCCATTTGTTGAGCCGAAATATTTGCAATTATTGTATAATTTATATCATCTGTTCAGTTTTTCCATCTTTGTGCGATGATATTCAACACTTTTTAGTGTTTTGTTTTCCATCTATTTATCGGTATTGTTACACAATCTTTTAGACTCATATATATATATATATATATGCAGTTCTAGAATTGTCAGGTTAAACTATAGACAAATAGTATGGAATTTGTGATGTAAGCTCAATAGAATTGCCAGATATTTTGACATTTAAAATAAAAACATTAAATATGATTGCATTGTCAGTATAATACTATTGACAATAACAGCTGATCTGCAAAGTATTCCAATTACCATTCTTCACAGACCATGTACAGTGTTACAAACCTAGTTATGCCGACGAGAAATATAATCATTATATGACAAAAAATCAAGCCACTGTTTTTTATTTTTTTATTTGTTATTCACATTTGCTTTTATAGTTTACTATATGGTAAGGTTTTTGCTCATTGCTGAAAGCCGTACAACCCTTTGGTTTTTTGGCATCCTCGTCATTTGACATCTCCTTGGTTTTAATCAACTGATTAACAAAAGCATTGTATGTTACTTAGTTTCGCCGAGTAATCTTTCGACATAGTGCAGTCGAGCGCAGATCGGGCTGAAATCCCGCTTAGGGAAGAACCAAAAGCTTGAAAGCGCGAATCTGCAGTCATAACAACGCAACGCAAATGATTGATATGTTTTGTGTGTGAGATTAATATACGAAAACGTCCAAAAATATATTTTCAACATTAATGAATAACATCTCACAATAGTCAACAGTCCTCTTTCATCTCCTAATGTTTTAACAATTACACAGACATTCATGGAAAAACTTGTGTTATATACATTACAAGATAAGCGAAAAAGAAAAGTGAATCACGGCCTCTTATCTATTTGTTGATTCAATATTGTAAAACATGCGATTTTTTTGTCAGAGCAGACATACGTCTCATAACATGTTAAATATATTATTAAACTACATCAAATAATTAAGGAAATGTTAAAATGACTATGCACTGTATCTATTTTCTGCAGCTGGAGGTTAAAAGATCATAGATGGAAAGAATCTAGCATCATTAAATTCCGATTTGAAATGTTACTCTATGTTGATGGTCAATCAAAAAACTACTGCTAGCAAGTAAAATCCATTAGATTACTTTCACTGTTTATTTAATTACATTGGTATATGACGTTCACCAATATTTAAAATCTATATTCCATTAACCTTTGAATTGATAGACTTGATATGGATGTCTTATGACATGTACACATCTGCATTTCATCTTATGCAATATAGGTGGAGTCACATTTTTCTTCGTCTGACGATCCACTGGTCTTACAAACGATCCTCGTTTGCACTGTCAAGCCATTACTGTACTTTGAATCATTTTCAAGGTCATTGAAATTACTTTTCTTTTTGCGTCTGAAGCACCTCAATAGTCTACACAGGTAACAATATCGTCTACAAGCTAAAGCCATACTTCTTCTAAAGTTCTTTGACATAAAACCATATATGATAGGATTAAGACAAGACTGTATATATGGCAGACAATTGAAGACGACCTGTAGAAATAAAATTTCCATTTGTATTTGCGTAAATGTAATCGTGTCATTCCACGAAGTAAACTAATCATATTTACACAAAAAAGAATAAGCAAATTCAGTGTTTTCATTATGGTGAGGTGGTGTGTTGTGAAATGCATTCTCAATTTGTGAAAACAAATCCCCAAATCAACAACTACAGAAACAGATTGATCATAATATTTCGTAAGTGTTATGATATCATATTCAGAATAAGCTTTATTTTGTAAACAAAACAACGAAAATGGGATGAAAAACCGACAATTATTAAAGTATTTGAGTAACAATACACCACGATCGTTAGTACAAAGTATATTAAATGTATTTTTTGAAGAACTAATTTTGATATGTAATGATTTTGTTTGAAAAAAAAAATCTCCTGTTTTCTATTTCTTCTGACCGTATGAATTGTGTAGTGCATTTTCTTTTTCAATTATCATTATGCTTCATTAAAGCGTAAAATTTGAAATATGGTTACTGCATATGAGACAGTGAAATTATTGACTGTAAAACGGTGACGTTATATACTTTATTTGTAATATCAAAATTTTTCGTCTATTTTGTATTTTTTTCAAAGTATTGTGACTTAAGGAAGATGAATATTACAAATTGACATTCCACAGAGATTTCTTACAAGATATTGAAAAAGACAGCCAATCGTTAATTCTTCAAAATATAATTAAAAAAAGGTTATTGTTCTTATTCAGAAATATCGGGTAGTAAACTTTTAGTTTTATCAAGATTATAATAAGAAAAACGTTTTCTGTAAACAGGATAGTAACAAACAGAAAGTATAAGGTACACAATGCCATCAGGTAACAACATTTTTGTTTTGATTGTAATCATGTGTCTGGATTAAGAGGAATTTTGGACATTGATTGTAATTAAACAGATGGTTCTATTTAATTTCTTTTAATTTAGTAATGATACAAGTATTTTATATGCTGAGTGCAGCATCTATCTAATTTATAGGAAGGAAAAGTAATACAAATATCAACTGATTTCTAAAACTAAACAAAACTGTTAGATATTAGCTAAATCAATGAGACACAATCCTACTAAGGATAACATTTAAAGTGAGAGCTGCTGAAAACATCTTTAAAATCCTGAAAACATTTGAAAAAATATATAAAAAATTAGATACATAATCTATATATCTAGAACTTCAAAGGATAGACAAGCTATTCAAATGGTTGAAAGGTCTAGGCTGAAAACTTCAGAAAGAGTTGAGTGACATAAAATCTGAGAAAACTGAGAAAGTTTTACTACCTGGAAAATCTTTTAAAATTATCAAAATGTGTATATAAAGGAAGATGCCCATCTTCAGTATACACACATATTCTAGAAGTTTAAAGGCTCTGCTGGTAACATAAACAAAATGTACCGTCTGTATGTACTATAAGCCGATGGTCCGTTCTTGCATTGGTTTGGTTGCATAAATATGCAGGTGTATTATTTAAACTTTAATTGACATATTTTGGAAGAAGTCAATGTCTTAGATAAACACTGTTTCTTCAATTGGTCAATATATTAATTATTCTATCAGTTCGTGTATTCTGAAGAAAGTAATTTTGTATAAAATGATAAAAACTTATAAGATAAATCTTTCGATCACGTTTATGTTTGTGAATTAGCAAAAACAAAGCAAAAACATAACCCTGACAACTAAAATATGTCAAACATCGAATGATGAAGTCTTCATTGATGATCAAATTAACAGTGTAAGTGATATTCATAATATTCCGTCAATTTCTATACTGTGGATTTATTAAATTTTTTCGGTATTAGTTTTAGTGCTTCTAGAAATCTTTGCTATATTGAGGATATCTAATGTTGTGTTTTCATTATATTTGGGACTATCAAGGAAACTAATAAATGTATACATCTTCGAGTATCTAAATTCGTAGTTTTCCCACTTTAAAAAATTTTTGAAAATTGATATCCCACGAATAATAATGAATTCACAGTAAATATACAAACCTGGGTTGAAAATGCTGATTGAGTGTATATCAAATCAAGCTTCATGTCCTGCATAACTTGTATTATCAGCTTTGGTCCCCATGCAATGAGAAACACAACAACTACTGCAGCTAGTATTTTAATTACCTACAAAACAATCGTTATTCTTGTAAATAAGATTCGAATTATGTTAAAAACTTACTTTCGAACGGTTATTTCATAACATTTCGATGGAGTTATGGAAACATTTAATGAATTGTGCTTCAAAATAATAGAAAATATATAAACCGAAAACGTCATTTTATACTTTATATCATTGCTATAGAGGTTTATTTGGACGAGTCGATCTTTATACCAGTTAAGGAAATTCTTATATTACGTCTTACTGGTGAGTTTTATATTCAAAGTATGTCGTTACAGATACAGTTTCTGGCATTAAAATTACATCACAATGACAGGATATTCAACGACAGAAATCAAATGAGGGTATTTACCGTCGAAAATGTCATTTTTCAGTCTACAATGTCATGTTATCTTTGCGTTAATTCACAGTAAAATATCCCTGCTGTTTTCAAATATAATAGCAATGTAAACTAATTCCAAGAAATAAAATCAATGCACATATCTTGCATTTTACAATTAATAAAATTAAAGACCTTTGTGAATCAAAGACATGAAGGGTTGAAATAACATTTATTTTCATCTATTATTTCTTTTATCGCTGATCATCAGTTCATAATATTATGTTGGTTCAAGAAATCGTATGATAACTAAATTTTAATATTAAAACAACAGTGTAAGAAAACAAAATCTGAAACGCTACATCAATACAACATAAGAGAAATATGATAATTATATGTTTAAATATTAATGCCGTTTTTTCTGTTTCTAACCTTTTGATACATGCAAGGGCGTGACGTTGTCGTTTTATGGCATCCTTTCTTTTGGAATATATAAGGTTCAAGACAAGGTAAAATCCAATCTAGCATTTTCACAGAAACCTACGAAAAACTGGCAGGAATATTCTATTTTTAATTCTTATTTACATTTTAACATTTCTTATCTAAACTTTATACTCCTCACTTTCGACTCTCGAAATGTCAACTCGAAACTGAGAATAGTCAACTTGACAATGACAAATATTAAGTTTGAAATGGGAAATTTTAACAGCATAATGTCCCTATCGGTCTTTCCTAGATACCTCTTTCGAAAGGATTAAAGATAGTAAAAAGTAAAATCACAAAAATACTGAACTCCGAGGAAGATTCTAAAAGGAAAGTCCTCAATCAAATGGCAAAATCAAAAGATCAAACACATCAAACGAATGGATAACAACTGTCATATTCCTCACTTGGTACAGGCATTTTCTTAATTAGATAATGGTGGATTGAGCCTGGTTTTAAAACTAGGTAAACCTCTCACTTGTATGACAGTCGCATCAAATTCCATTATATTGACAACGATGTGTGAACAAAACAAACAAAAACAATAGATAAAAATGTCATAAATAGGGGTAAATAGTCTAATTCGGTAGGTCACATTCTTGAAAAGGGAAAGAGATTGTAGTTACGACATAAGGAACATATCCGATGTCATTTGTGAAACGGATATTCCATAACGGTCAACCAACTCGTGATGGCGTCCGTAAAATTTACAAAGTGATGATTTCAACTTCACCATTTGGAACTCTTTGTTTAAAAATGAAAATTCACAATTGGGAAGCTGAAATCATCTCTTTTGTCGTAAAGTTTTGTTTTCAACCGACCTTCATAGTCAATTTCTAGATATAAGTCATAATCAAATGGCAAAATCAAAAGCTCAAACACATCAAACGAATGGATAACAACTGTCATATTCCTGACTTGGTACAGGCATTTTCTTATGTAGAAAATGGTGGATTGAACCTGGTTTTATAGCTAGCTAAACCTCTCACTTGTATGACAGTCGCATCAAATTCCATTATATTGACAACGATGCGCGAACAATACAAACAGACACAATAGGTAAAAATGTCAAAAATAGGGGTACAGCAGTCAACACAAGTCAAGCACAAAAAGGCATACATCAAATTTAACATCCTCATTTTGCTTTTATATTATACGATTTTATTTTTCTTTGTAAAATCCACATATAAAGGATGGAAGGTTATAAGTACTGGCGTAAAATCGCGCGTTTGAAATTCGCACAGGTAGACATAAAATAAAGTATCGTTCAAAGTATGACGGGATACATAAGTACAGAGTAACGTAAAATGGATATCACAAAAAACAGACTTAACAGTAAAAGTAATATTAATAAATAAAATAATTGTGTTGTTCAAAGTCTGACGGGATACATAAGTACAGAGTCACGTCAAATGTATATGACAAAAAACAGACTTAACAGTAAAAGTAATATGATAAATAAAGTAATTTTGTCGTTCAAAGTATGACGGGATACATAAGTATAGAGTCACGTCAAATGGATATCTAAAAAAACAGACTTAACAGTAAAAGTAATATTAATAAAGAAAAATAAAAGAATACTATAACACGTTATTAAAATGATAAACAACGTCAGTACGCAGAATCTATACTTCAAGACCATCGTGTATTATTTGTGAAGTTGATACGGAATATTTATCAACAAGGTCTTGGTACCTTCCGATGAACTTTTTTAGAAAAAGGACGAGACGTTCTTTGATATACCCCTGGTTCATCAACTTTCTGCTCAGACACTGGTGACGTTTAACAAAGTCTGAGTAGGAGCTGCAAGCTCTTGAATACCGAATAAGTTGGGAGATGTATATCCCATATGCAAGTGAAGTTAATATATTGCTACTAAGGTGGGGGAAATTGATAATTTCAAAGTTGAAATCGTCTCGTTTGTCATAGATTCTGGTACTGAGATGACTGTGTATATCAAATTCGAGGTATAAGTCTAAATATGAGCCGGAGGAAGCCGTGTCTGTTGTTTCTTTAATTTCTAGTTCTGGTGGATATATTAATGGAACCCAATCAGAAAAGTTCGGATTGTTAATGGAAAGAACATCATCAATATATCTGAAAGTGAAATTAAATAACCTGGCTTCTTTGATCTTCTTGTTTTTGACAATTGTCTGAAGGAACTCCGATTCATATGAAAATAAGAAGAGGTCAGCAAGGAGAGGCGCATAGTTCGTTTCCATAGGAATGCCGACAATTTGATGAAAAAGTCTACCTCCAAATTCAACAAATATGTTGTCAATAAGAAACTCCAGCATACTGATCACTTGTTCCTCTGTGTAGCATGTTTTACCCTTTTGTTCACTATTAACAAAATATGCCTTATGGTATCCCAAAGTAATAAATTTATAGCGTATGCTACCATTTTTATGTTGAAAAGCATGTGGAATTATTTTTTTTAGACGGTTTTTCAATTTCACATGGGGAATAGTGGTATACAAGGTTGAAAAATCAAAAGTTTTGATAGAACTGATTTCAGAAAAAGACCGAGATTTAAAATTATCCAGAAGTTCTTTAGAGTTTTTAAGAATCCACATATGGTTAATACCACTACGCGAGTAAACAGTTTCACAGTATTTCTGAAGACCCTCTTTCACTGCGGACAGAATTTTAGTCAATCTGATGGAAAATTCTTTAGTGGAACATGCAGATGAGCCGGCAATGTACCGTTGTTTGTACGGAATTTTGTGAAGTTTAGGTATCCAATACAAACAAGGTAAGTCCTCCGATTTGTTGTTCAACATTAATTAAACATTAATTAAACTTGCTGCTCCAGATAAGTGACGATCATTGATATTCCATAGTCATATGTCGTCCACACTGAAATTGATACCATACCTATCACCAGTCAGGGGCGAACCCAGGATTTTTGAATGAGGAGGGGGAGGGGTCGTAGTTTCATTTAACGGATTATATACTGTATATATGAATTTTTGGATAGATTTATATTAAAAAATCATATAAATCGCAAAAAACATGATATAATTATTTTTGGGGGCAATCACGGGGAGCGGGCGTACGCCCTCTACGACGCTTGATCCGCTACTGACAGTGCTGGTTGACTAATAGACCCCGATAGTATCATATGTAAAGTAGTCTTTGTTTTGCTACAGACATGATTTAAATGATACTTTTTTGTTTTTCTTTATTCTGAAAATTGGGTTTTAATGGAAGATATTTTATTTTTCTGTTAACTTTTACAAAACTTTTATATAACCGAAACCAATTACAGTTTGACATTATGTCTAGACATCTGTTTATTTGTGAAGCTATAGATTGCCCTCTATATGTATTTTGTCACACGTTATTATTTTAGTTTGGTTGTTGTCTCATTGACGTAAACGCAACATATCCTTTTATACATGATAAGCAAATTATGACCCTATGAAAAATAAATATTTTACCATTTGTTTCAATTTTTTATAGTTTATTTCGTTAAGTAGATGAATAAACTACGGAATTTTTTGTCTATAAAATGTAGTATAAATTTTTATATTTACCTGTTTCCTTGCCCTAAGAATATCGTTGTTACTCTTGTGGAGAACGTTACACTTCCTTACCCCTGAATTCACCCCATGATATGTTTGTCGCATTGCTATTCGTTCTATTGATGGATTCGACGATCTGAAATAGAACAATGTATTCATACAATATGGATAAATTTTCAACTAGTTTGAAAAATCAAAACATTTCCTTAAATAAAATTCAAGTAAACGCTGTTCTACAAATAGGTATTTTTTTCATAGAGTTGGTCCGGGAAATTGTTGATTATAATACGAAACATGCAAATATCAAGTATGTAGTAATTGGACCACTTAAATATTTTTGAATGTTGTGAATGTAGATAAATTTAAAGTTACAGATTTGAAAAGAAATAACGATAAATCTAAATTATAAGGAAATGTCAACAAATTCCTTTTTGTGACTTTTATTCTCTGTTAAACATTAAGAACAATAGAAGATTTCATTGGTGCCCAATGTAGTCCTGAAATTTATAATATAATGCATGTAATAACTAGTATTTTGTGTTCCAATTTATAGTTATCACACTGTTTCAAGAAAGCTTTTGATGTCAGCTTAATGGCACACGACACGTATTTCATTAGGGTATTTTGGTCTATGACAACGGGGATCTATGGCGATTATATTTTCCCTTCGTTTTCTTTAATATCTACAAATTTGTCAAAATTGCAATTCTGAGTCCATTATAAACCTTAAGTTACAATGAACTATAGTTGTTAACTTCTACTTCATTTGGTCCCTGGTGGAGAGTTATCTCATTGGCAATCATATCACATCTTCTTATTTTTTTACTTGGCATATCATTAGTTTACTGATTAATAGTCGAATTGTGCCAATGCTATTACAATCAAATATAGTTAAACAATCTAAATCCGAAAAGAAATCAACACAAATTGCCTGCTGACTGATAAAACGGGAATAAAATTTTGAGAGCAAATTAACTTTCGTTCTTCAAATAAGCTTACATCAAAATATCAAGGATATTTTTTTTTTTAAATGTCATTACAAATTGAAGTAACAAACACAAAATTGCCTGAAATTTGTACTTGAATCCTAACCAATGAAACAAGTCTTTGAATTTCAAGGTAAAGTTTTTCCTTCACCTCAAACAAGTTATTGCAAGAAAAACAGTTTTTAACATTTTTTTTTACTTCACTATAGATGAGTTTTAGTAAAAGGTTAACAGCTTTATTTTCAAACAAAGTCATTTCTGAAATATGTTTGTTTAAAATAAGAACAATCTGATATATTTCTAAATAAATATTAAGAACATATTTATGCTTCAACCTTCAGACACCTAAACAGTATAAAGACTACAATGTAACAATAATAGTAAAATGCATAATTGATAATTTGACGTGGAAACACTTATCAAGGACACAAATTATTTTACTTAAGCATTGTTTTAAGGGTTTGGTAATAAAACTGCCAACAATTTTTAAAACAAATCTCTTTTATTGGAAATTTTTATATTTTCCATATAACAAGGTGATATTATTCGAGCAAATTAATCTAATAGGGAAAATAAATGTACATGCTCATCTACATTTACAATTTCCATTAAACGAAGTGAAATGGATATGGATATATCTGGTATCATATTACAGTTAATGAAAATGGATAGGAATATTACGTATCTGTATATTATCTTAAATCAGCCACAAGCTGTATAATTTTATAAAGAAGATAATTTTATTCCCTATGCGATAATCTATAATTAAACAACAAACTTAGCAATTGGACACATGTATGATAGCATTGCAGACTATGCTGAAAGTTTATTCTATTTGTGTTTACATTTTTCATGCCTGTGCTTAAACCTAATAATTTACTGTTGTTGATCTGCCTATTTTCGTACTGTCCTCTAAATTCTGATATTCAGTAAAAAAATACTTTCAAGACTTTTCTATGTTTTGAATGGGTTTTTCTTTGTTTTTGTATGTGTTCTTTGTGTGGATACGATTAGCCTGACCAATCATTTGAAAACAAAAACTGGGTGCCTGTTTATGATTTTTTTTTTATATTTTAGGAATTATTGGAAATATATCCATTGACTATAATATCAAGTTTTATTTTTATTATCCTCTTTCTTTAAATGAAAGTTATTTTCAAGAGCCAAGCACAAAATCTCTTTTAAAATAAGAATAAGTGTTATCAGAAAGTTTTCTATGCATTTTTTTTAAAGTTTCCTCTATATACATGCCAGCCAGAAAACAACATAAATAACATGGATTTTTATGAAAAACTAATAGCTACATACAACAAAGCCCCGTTGGATGCTCATTGTCAATCTATCTTACACTTAATTCTGAAAACCATAAAAGTAGCATCTTGATAGACATACTCTATATCATTCGATATCAAATGATAGAACACAGAGTGTTTTCTTATTGATTCAAGAATAATTCACCGGAAATAAGTTTTCAAATTTTTATATATTTAAATTAACATCTAAGATTTTATAAAAAGCCATATCAACCAAAATAGATACATTTTTGTTTTTGTTTTGGTAAAATGAAAAAAAATATATAATAAAAAAACTGAGCTCCAAGGTAAATTCAAAAGGAGAAATTCATAAAAACAAAATCAACCAACGGAACAAGTGAAAATCAACTGTTATATTCCTGACTTGGTACAGGCATTTTCTGAAGAAAATTGTGAATGAAAATGCACTCGGCTTGAATAGAATAAGAATAATCAGGATGTTAGTTGCAAATTGTTCGTTGGCTTTGACTTTACCTTTGGGGTAGCAATCAGACGACCAATTTAGAAAATAACTCGAACTGTATTTAGTATTTTCTTATTTTGCAATTATCATTCCTTATATAACAATCCTTAAAGTGAAAAGAAAAATCATTCATCCGAAAAGATATGTTTTAACCGTAGCATTCTACATTCCTCTTTAACTTTCAATCCGTTGTTGACAACAATTATCGTATGCTCAAACATCTAAAACCGTTTACAACTGTATAGGCTGGCACGAAAAATTGTTAAATGTTATTTTAAATTGTTACAGTTCATTAACAGTAGATTTCCGTGATGTTTCAAAAAAATAAAACGTTATCAGTTGTATAGAAAAAGTTAATGAACTGAAAATGTTCATGTATCACTTAATTAGCTTTTTAGTCAGATGTTGTAGTGTTATTTTGTTGATTTCTTGTTAAACTTTGTATTGTTTAACCTTTTAACCTTGATTTGAAGGACATGAAGCTATACATTTTTTATACATTTTCATACATATAAATGATTAAGTAAATGTTTAATGGATTTGTGACAAAGACCACGGTAGTTGTGTGTAGAATTGGTGCTCTGTCAGTGCTAAGCGTAAACATGTTATTCACATTCCGCTACATATAACACAACAAAGTAGGTTTAAAATCTGACTAACAACAGAGTAGTAATTTTATTTCAATTCGTTAACATTTGCATATTGTTTGTGTCATTAATTCACATGGACCCTTGCAGAAGTATTGAATAATGCCATATTTACCATCGAAATGTAAGAAAAAAATGTTGATTCTTTATTGTTAACAAACCTTGTGGTATTTTGGCAACGTGTTCAAAATTACCTCACTTATGTGGTATAATAAACCAATCACTTTTTTTCGGCCAAACGATAGTTATGATGAGGTTACACCAACATAATTTTTATACTTTTGATTCAACAAATGATAAAATAAAGATTCCATCAAATCAAACACATAGAGAACAATGCCTATGAACAATGTGTAGTTATACTCTGCATAATTTTAACCAGATGAAGAACAAGAGAATGTTTAGCTGACAAAAATGAAAATATGCACCCCATTCTCTCCCCCCCTCCCCCCCCCCCCCCCTTCCCCCTCTTTCTGGCAAAAGAACCGACAAATTATTTTAAGTAAGAATATTCCTTTGTCTGATTCAATCATGTTGGGTTGATTTAAATTTGAAGAGCAAACGAAAGTATAGCATTAAAATCATCGGCAGTATTATTTAGCACTTTGTATAAAATTTTGAGATGTGAATCAGTTAAGATCATAATAGTTCCAATTAACAAAGCTAGTAAATATTCATATCATGATATGCTTCAAAAACAGTTCAATGCTATGCCTAATATATTATATAACATTGAAAATTAAATTGAATGAAAGCTTTAAATTGAATAATTGTGAATGTCATGAAAGATTCGTAGATATCAATTGTTTGAAATATGAACCATTAATGCAGTTTTGAAACGAGGAAAACATCAGTCAATAATCACAGTCATTTGAAATTTACTAATCTTCAATTCATGGAAAAGTACACTTAATTTATTTTTAAGGCTGATATATAGAACAAATCAATGAACTTTTGAGGAGAATGATAGAATGCAGTAGTTGGAGATGTGTAAAGGAGAATTATTTGCGTTTGTTACAATGATTTTGTTTTCTAGGCAAAATATTGAATGCAGTGGCTTGTGGTTGAAGAGGTGTAAAGCGGAAATTCCTTATGTTTATGTTGCACTGATTTACTTCAATTGTGTTACTCTATTTTTTATAGTTTCTTATCCATTCTGTTTTATATCACCACTATATATAACAAAATGTGCGAAGTATAGATTATGTCTCCGCTAAACCTTGATGGAAATGACGGTTATTATATGAAAAGTCTTGTTCCGATTATATATGAAGCACAATAACTTCGATGTTATGGATGTTCTAAAGAGTTGTGCTATAAATCATCATGAATAATACAATAAACTTCAACAAATATATGCTAGTTTAGAATTTTCATTCAGTAAAGCGGTCAATTATGAACATTAACGACAAAGAAACAAAGATAATTATTCATAATAAAGGAAAAAAACACTTTATAATGATGTTGTTTTGATGGTCTCTTGACAGTTTTAACAACTTAACTCTACTTTAATAAAAAGACGAGCCCATAATAATGTTTTTGCATCCAAAAGGTATCCCAATTACTTATTGTAATTCCGATTTATCCAGATGAAGCATTAATTCGTAGTTAATAAGAAATACAGATTTCAAAAGCTCCATTCTCTAGATATATATCTAATGAATACTCTTATAACAATGTCAAATATTTTTAATCTGCTTCCTATGTACACTTATGATGGCTTATGGTGTATAAAGTTTGAATATTTGGCACAGTAGGTACCAAGGGGGAAATCGAAATAATTATAAATTCAAGCAAAATAGGTGAACTCCGTAAGGGTAAGCAGGCCAAATTCAAGTTGAAGAGTTGTGAAAACCAAAAATTCTGAAAGGTCATTGTTCCGATGAAGACTAAATCATTAAAATACCAAAAAGTGGTATAATCGTGTAGGCTTTTACCTATAATGTTAGCATGTGTCTTCAAATAAGAGAGGCGAACAATACCAAAGAGACATGCAAACTCTTTAGTCGAACACAAACTGACGTTACCATAGCAAAAATTAAAAACGATTAAAAAACAAACAACAGTATACAGAAACAAAACATAAATTATGTAATGAGTTGCTAAAACACTTAGTCCTTACCTTTGACTTGGTACCAGCTGTGTTAATTGTTTTGAACTAACCCATAATGAATAAATAACAGCGCTGTAACATATAATCATGATCTGCGTTGGGAGGGCGAACATAATAATTAATTTATATACAGAAAAGATCAGTTTTGATGACTCTTGTTCCGTTACACAAGAACAAAGACTTATTGGTACAATGGTTCCATTCTGATGAAATAGCGTATGTTCTGTATCCTGAAAGTAGAAAAAGAGATGACAATTTAAGCTAAAAATATGATTTATATAATACCTTAAAAAATCTTTCGGTATAAACTCATGATTAACGATCATGAGACGATTATACAATTCGGTTTACAGAATAATTTAGGCTTTTTGCTTAGACAAATAGCCGTTAAGGTAACCTTGAAATGAAAATTGCTGATTTGAGTGCTATGCTACAACAACTTCTTGCGGATTTCTATGAATTTTGGATTTCGATATAAGAGCGTGTTAAGCTGCATCTGAATTTAAAAAAAAATACATGTTTTAAATGTTTAGAATGCATGTAATCATTAGTAAAAGTTCAAGTAATTGCCATTCATTGAATTCCTGTCCTACAAATTTACTCTGGAAATGAAAAGCTAATGTAACTAAATTACCCGTTTATTAATATTTACAACCACTGGGTCGATGTCACAGCTGGTGGAGGTTTGCCCTCCGAGGGCATCACCACCCAAGCAGTCAGCACTTCTGTGTTGACATGAATTATCATTGATATGGTCATAATTATAAATTAACTGTTTGCAAAATTTAGAATTTTCGAAATACTAAGGATTTTCTGCATTGGTGATAGATTACTTAAGCTGTATTTGGAAAAATCTTTCTGAATTTTAGGTTCTCAATGTTCTGCAACTTCGCACTTTATTTTGTCTTTTAACTTTTTTGATTCGAGCGTCACTGATGAGACTTCGGGAGACGAAAACGCGTCCAAAATTTAAATCACGGTATCTATGATGAGTTTATTTATATACTTTTAAGAATTCAAATTTAAAATGGAAAAGGGGAATGAGTCAAAGAGACAACAACCCGACCAAACAGCATAAAACAGCCCAAGGCCACCAATGGGTCTTCAACACAGCGCAAAAATTCTGAACCCGGAGTCGGGCTTCAGCTGGCCCCTAAACAATAATGTTTACTAGTTCAGCGAAAATTTATGTCACACTAAACTCCGAAACATATAAATAAACCAAATGTATATTAGGTCACAAAATATTTTTTTTCGGAATATTTAATTTCAGAAAACTCGTAGGACAGGTTTGCCTAAAAAATGTCAATATTAGATTATCCATTTTACGCAAAATTTATACATGTTCACCCTTATTTTAAAAGTATTAGACCAACTTTATTCCAATAATGTATCAGATGCTCTAGTTGCATGCACAATCGTATGAAAATTGTCCGATTGCTTACTCGTACTGATTTAAGACACCAACTTTTCTCTTGGCGAACATTTAAAAACTATTACAAAAAGCTAATTTTTACGTTGTATTTTAAAATTGCCTTGCCTGTAGTCCAGTGTGTGTCGTTGGTTGCTGTCTATATTTGTTATTCGTTTATTGATTTTATCATTAATCAGACCGTTGGTTTTCGATTTTGAATTCTTTCCAAGTTTATCACGCAGAGGTCTTCAGTTTGTTTTCCACGTATGTATTTGATTGTTTCTTTTGTATCTTTCGTCTATCCTTAATATCTTATTTTACCGTATGTGTTTTGTTCATTGTTGACGTCCGTACGTTGACCTTACGTTGTTTACATCTTTGTCCGTTGGTGTCTTGGGGATAGTTGTGTCTCTTTATTTTTATATTGTACATTTGCAATGACCAGCGTCAGCAATACGTGAATTATAAAAATGGCTGGAACAATAAGTACCCAAATATTCAAACAGGTAAAAAATGAATAATATTTTTTAGCATTTGAATAAATTATTAAATATACTTTTGGGATTTTAAGTATGAATAACTTGATAATCGAACTATCAAATGTTTTTCAAACCTAATCAGCAAAGGAAAATTCCATCACGGATCTTCATAAAATTTGTTTGCAACTTGAGTATCTGGTTCTTAAATTTCAATATCGAAACAATAATACATTAAACTAATATATTTATAAGTATAAAGATGTTTGAAGATTTGTCAAATAATGGTGTGCATGTATAAATTGCACGTAAAAATAGATAATTTCTTTTAATACTGAAATGTTTACGCAAACCTGCCCTATGTACCCATCATGAAAAAAGTACATCATCAGGTACATGTAAAATGAAATGTGTCGTTGCAAACCATTAATTTTACGCGGAGTTTCTGCGTAGATTTTTTCGAAATAATAAGCGGGAAAGAGGGGAGGGGTGTAAACCCGATTCTACAACAACTGTTTTATAAAAATGAAAACCATTCTTAGCAAAAGAGAGGCGAAAGATAACAAAGAAACATTTAAACTCATTAGTTGAAAATAAACTGACAATGCCATATTAACAGTATACAAAACACAAAATAGAACACTTAAGACTGAGCAACACGAATCCCACCAAAAACGGGGGTGATCTCATGTGCTCTGAAAGGGTACATAGCTCTTGATTCACTTCGTCTTTTAAGAGGAAAGATATTACTCGAAAAGTATCCATGTTCATCTGTGACAAAGATATTCCATCACGATCATCTTACTCATTATGTCGTACGTTAATCTTTCGAAGAGATAAGGTACCCTTGGTTTAATAGCTTATTTGTAAGCAGCAATCCTCTCTAAAGGAAATCATGATAGAAAACGAGAAATTATCTCTTTTCGGAAATATACTCAAAATTTGCCAATTCTATTAAACCTGTAATTTGGAGCGATCTTTAAGTATTTATATTGATTACATGTAAACAACACAACATAATGTGGTTAAAACTTTACAGTACACAATGTTGTTGTGATATTTTGAATTTAAGTAAAGATCGGAAACGACTTGAAATTACAGTGATAGGTTACAAATTTATCCCTATCCGTTTAGATATTGGAAATGATACTATTTACAAACCAGTAGCTTAATCATGTAAATGAACTTCAAACTCTTAACACATGCTCTAATTTTATTAAATTGTAGAATTTAAGTTAGAGGTTTCAAACTGCAAATTCGGTTGCAGTAAATAAGTCCAATTTCACAAATTAGATCCAAAAAAACAAAATCCATTTTACGTGCTCAAAAAGTTAGTGTGTGGTATGTTCTATTTTCAGCAGTATAATTGGATAAATGATCTATACTGACACCAGCTGTGTATTGGGAATCCGAGATGATTTATTTCTGAATGAGTTTCGTAAACAAAACTTGAGAATATACACGTCAACTTTGCAGATCAGATGGTTGCAGATTACAAATGCCATTCTTCAACAAATTTTGTAGATAATGTGCTTATACCAGGCGAGTTAGACTGATAATGGAAAAATCCTTTCCGTTTTTGTTTGAAATTGGGTTTTCCCAGTTTTTTCGAGACCCTTTCAACAACGCTTGCTCCCTTGTAAATTTAAACATTAATCAATATTGAGCATAGCTAAAAGAATAACTGGATCATTGAAGAATAGGTTTTGTCGTGGCAAAAACCAAATATTGGACAAATAAGAGCATAACTTATCGTTGCTTAATATTCGAAGAGAGAGAGCTAAAGGACCAGGTTCATTTTAGGCCAAATATGCCTTGAATTTCATCTTTATTATGAAATTTCAAAATAGCCATAATTTGGTTCTTGAACGGATCCAATTTCAAAAGCCTTACTTCTTTGTTAAAATAATTCTCTTCATAACAGTATATTCTTGGTTCCAAAATCAGCACATAATGGATATATTGTCAAAATACGATGATTTTATGCATTTTTCGGACCTAAAAGCTTGAGGATACCATTGGTCGCAACCTAGAATCTAAAATGTTCTGTACCCAAAAGTTGCCAATAATGATATTGGATCCATGAACACAAAAACTTTCTGGATAATGAGTGGCGGCCAAAGTAAATCATACTAAAAACTGTTTAGAATTATTGAAAATTAGACCAAAACTGATATTACAACACATATAATGCATACTTAAGGAGTCAATACTTCGTCATTTTTAATTTTTAATGTGATGTGCCAAAATGAAGTTATTTTGTATTAATAGTAATATCACAGCTATTTCTTTGTGAAATTTGTAGTATTTTAGTCTAATTAAAAAAGCATCAAAATCTTAGTGCCAAAGTTAACCCTTTGTGAACTTACTCTCTTAAACTTATTTTGAAATTGTTTTTAGAAGCTTTTAGCTTAGCCTTAGTGATTGAAAATCATTGACATACAAAGTAATGAGTCCTTATCATTTGTTTAGTACGAAATCCTTACTTAAAATTTATTACGGTACCTCGTTATGTTTTTACCTGGACATAAAAGGAAAATGGTTTTAAAAATATGCAAATACATGAAAATACACTTTTTAACAGACCGTCATGACATTTTTTGGTAAAAGTTTTATATTTTCACTTAAACAAAACAAGTCTAGAAGTGAGCGGCTAAGTGTCAGAGACCTTGTTGAGAAGTGGACCATTATTGGAAATAATAATGCAAGTTAAAACGGCAAAAGAGGTGATTTAATTTTCATGGAAGTTGTCAAGACCCTTTTCAGTCGTAGCATTTCTTGTGCATTACAATCTATCTTTTAATCATTTACATGACGTAATAAAATCACCCGTCTATCGTCCTAATATTGCTATTGTTATTTTCTGGTCAACAGATTAATTCGATATTGAATCAGTCACACAGCTATTTATCAAAATGGACAAACAATGTCGTAAAATCGGAAATTGTTGGTTCATGGTAAGCTAATTAAGATGTGCAGCCTTGTTTGATTATCATTGATTGATTAATAGTTCATGAATTGTTCGGATATTCATTGTTGGTTCAATCCTAAAAAAATATAATAAATTGAAATAGCTCATTTTTATGCATTGATATATACTGAATTCTGCTAGAAAAAGATGTTAATGTATAATAGTTGCATGAAAAAATTCATAAGTGGACATACAATTCATTTCAAGCTAATTATTTTAGAAATTTTTCCTGTGATTTGTTCTTATAACTATTGCCTGAGGAATTTTAGTTTGATGGGCTTCTGAAGAATAAAAAGAAGGTAGCGTTATCTTTTAGCCTAACTTTATAGATGAAATCCTCTCATAACACAATGTTTGGGGACTATGTTGATCTTTTTTTTTTCAAAAATACTCAAGTAGTCTTGTTTCGTAACTTGACTGTCACCAGGAAAATTATATATGTGCCACCTATAGGTGACTACGGACACGTTCCAATTGTCATAGACATTCTCTACTTTCCTCGATTGTCAAATCACAGAATGAGACTTAACACAAAATCTGCACTTACCATGAACATCACGCCGGTTACATGTGGAGCAGGATATGCTTACCCTTCCTGAAATCAACCCCTTTGTTTCGTGAGGTTTGTGTTGCTTTTTTTTCTGTAGTGTTTCTATATTTGTCGTTTTTAGTTTTTTACCGTGATTTTTTCAGTCTCCCTTAGACCTGACTTACCAGTTTTGATTTTCCCTTTGATATTCTTATTTTATGATCTCCATATAATAAAAATGTTCAAGAAATAAAAAATGAATTCATATTTTTAAGTGTTATCAAAAAATGAAAAAAATACGTTAAATAATTTCATACGTCCGAAGCGCTTTTCGGGATTTACCGTCACCAGGAACGCCCAAAGCCGAATATTTGAAAGCCAAGTATGTATAAGAACGGAAACATTTGAAGAGCTATATGACAAAATAAAACTAAAAAATAGCCAAATCCATCTAAGGTCAGCTTTGCCTGAGGGAGTTGAAACCTTAGTTTCTTTATAATTTAAAAATTTATAAACGGACAATTTTAGAAAGGTTTGTTGTAAATCATGCCAGTGCTGAAGTACTGACTACTAAGCAGATGATACCCTCGTGGACTGATAGTCCACCATCAGAAGTATCGACCCAAAGCTGTAAAAAATGAAAACAACACGTTAAATAATTTCATGCGTCCGAAGCGCTTCTCTGGATTTACCTTCATCAGGAACGCTCAAAGCCGAATATTTGAAAGCCGAGGATGTATAAGAACCGAAAAAGTAGAGGAGTTATATTGCCTGAGGGAGTTAAAACCTTAGCTTCTTTATAACTTCAAAATTTATAAACGAACTATTTCAGAAAGGTTTGTTATAAATCATGTCAGTACCGAAGTACTGACTTCTGAGGTGATGATACCCTCTGGTATCAACTATCTCTATAAGGTCACGAACGTGGCAGTGGTTTACAATCATGATATTTCATTATTTGTCTATGTCTTTCGTTTGTTAATTGTGTAAATATAATGTAATGTAAAGATGAAAGTACACACTTACCATTAATTTAAAAGTTGGTGAAGACAATGCTACTGCAACAACCCACACAGCTATTAGAATTTTTTTAGTATTCCCGACAGTACACCATCGACGAGATTTCATTGGTAATACAATGACTATGAATCTGCAATAAATATTTACGTTCGGTATTTAAGAATTCAAAAAATAAAGCTAGTTATAAATTGATGAGTTATACTACTAGAATAGTCTTTTAAGTATGAAGAAAAGCTCTGCCATAACTGTATTTTTGACATACGAGTTGGTATGTAAAATCATCAGAGTAATCTTCTTCTCTTACAATGTTTGGTATGTAACAATTCAAAAATGATATTACACTGTCTACAGTGTACACACCGGGCACCATAACTGTTGACTTTTATGATTTAATATTAGATTGAGCAGATTTGGTAAGGTTGTCAATGAAACGATTATTCACAAAATATCATATGGCAAGGATGTGAACAACTACAGGTAACCGTACGGCCAATACTAAATTGTATTTCTAAAAGGAATGTGAGATTTTGTTAGATTCATTGGATAAATGTGCACTTATTTGTCACACACTTTAGACAGATTTGAACTAGTAGGATATAGTTAACAAGAATTTTCATTTCAGTGCATCCTATATACGTATTTAAACGTCAAGAAGAAAGCAGCCATAACAACATAAATAGCCAGACATCCACATCTTTTAAGAAAAAAAAAAATATTTTTTTTCAATATGTTAAGTTCAAATCGAAAAAAAAAAAGATTCCAAATAATCTGAGAATACATTAAGCAGACACAATCAAAGGTCTTCCATGATCCACAATTCTCCAAAAAACGAAAACACTAAGATAAAAGAACATAACACATATTTTATCTGTCCAAGGAAAATAACTAAAAAATACAACTTTTGTTTGTTCTTGAAAACTTTTTATAAATATCTAGAGAAATGAAGGTTTAGAAAAACAAATGCATTACATATTCCGATATAATTGATATTTCCAAGAGACATAATTCTTTTAAAATTATTTGATCTGTACTTATTTTCGAACTCGTCCGAGACATTGATGGAATAAACCTATGATATGAGTTTCATAAAAATTCGGCAAGAATTGTACACATGAGAGCGCTAACAATGCAATTTTTAACATTTCCAAGGGCAATAACTCTTTTAAAAACAGTTGATCGGCACTGATTTTTCGAACTTGTTTGAGACATTGGTGATATAAATATATGATATTAGTTTGATAAAAAATATGGAAAGGATTGTACACGTGAGAGCGCTGACAAGACTGGACGAACAGACGGACGGACGGACGGGCGCCTGATATTTCTATTTAACAGCGCAATGGGACAAACGCAAACGATGTCCCTGGCTCGAGACAGGTGAACGAATAAGTGGCAGGGTTAAACATGTTTTTATCATAAACAAGTTTTGTTTTATGTCTCAACACTGTCCCCTACCATTATCGATCAGTGGTCTAACAAATGGTAAACAATCGAACTTACGATTAACAGTACAGAATATAAAAGCAATGAATTCTAAAATGGTGGTATATTCAGATAACTGAATATATTATTTAGTTATGTATATTCCGGACCATATGAGTATTTGGACCATACGCGTATGGTCATGACTATATGCGTATATGCGTATATACGCATATGGTCCGGGTAATTTACATGGTTACCGTTGAAAAGGTATCTTATAAATTGAGAGTATATGAAAAGGAAATTTTGACTTATTCAATCATAATATTGTAATCCTTATTTCATGATTAATGACATAACTTGAATTTTACTCACAAGTAAGAATTATAGTAAAATCATTTCTATCGGGTCATTATCAATTTGTCCTTACGAAACACAATATGTCGACTTATGGAAATAACTTCAAGACTGTTAAACAAGAAATCAATTTCTTAACTCACAGGAACTTTGGTCATTACACCTTCTTTCTTTCTTAATTTTTGTGTTTAAACATATTTTTATCAAATTGAAATTTTTTAAATATTTCAAATTGATTTTAGTTATGATTTTATGTGTGCTTGTTTCTATGCATACGATCTTACCATGTCAGTTTGTACGATTAGGAACAAGAATATGAAGGGCCGTTCGGGTCATAATTCATTTTGATTCACCTACGATAGAGGTACGCGAAACAGGTCGTTCACATACCCTAGAGGTACACGTAACACTTTGTTCACGTACCCTAAAGTGACGCGTAACTATTTGTTCACGTACCCTAGAGGTACACGTAACTATTTGTTCATGTATGCGGAATAACCTTTATACCCTATGCACAATGAACTCGTCTGCTGGAGAATACTAATTGACCAATTAAATCAGGCCTGTTTTACAACATTTTAATTAAATGATTTTAAGTTATAAAACTCGGTTAAAATTATTGATTAAAAACTTTATTTATATTAAACATTAATTTTGGCAACAGATTGTGTACATGGAAAACAGTATTCTTCGTTTTGTTGTCGGTTGTTGCCAAATCTTAAGCAGTTTTACAGGTTATCTTCCTTATCCAATACACATCCTTAAAGGATATAGTTAACTTCTTTCCTTTATAATTTTAGATATCTGCATTCCTTTCATCGGGATTTTTTCCTAGCACAAAACAATTTTCTTCTGTTGCAAGTAGTTTGAGGTTTGGGGGAAAATGAAATGATGTTGACACAGATAATCCATTATTCAGGGAAAGATATGACAGGTTTTCTGTTGCGGTTAGCTGCACGAACAAACAGTTACGCGTACCTCCAGGGTACCTGAACAACCAGTTACGCGTACCTCCAGGGTACGTGAACAAACTGTTACGTGTACCTCTAGGGTACGTGAACAAAGTGTTACGTGTACCTCTAGAATACGTGAACAAAGTGTTACGTGTAAATCTAGGGAACGTGAACGACCTGTTACGCGTACCTTAAGCGTATGTTTAACAAAATGAATTATGACCAGAACGGCCTTTCATACAAGAACACATCGATTAAATGAAAATAAGTAGAAATAATAATTTAAACACTAAGAAAAAAAAGGGTCCATACCCCAAACTGATATGATATCACTTACGGACGAAAACGTCGACAGGATAAAGCCTCATTAAAGGCGCTTTAAATTGACTCTACAGAATATGTAAAAGATAAAAGAATACAATTATTAACATGTGCCGTTTCGAGTTGCTTTCAAGTGACTTATCAGATTGGACATTTACTTTAGCAGAACTTCCAATAGACATAACGCCATTCATCACAACCATATTGCTAGCACTACATCTATATATTTATCCTATTTTTATCCTTATCGATTTTTATACATTGCTTGCATTTTGTTTTAAAAAGGCAGCATTACTATAAGGACATAAAGATACACAATACACTCTCATGCAATGTGACTAAAGGTGTGATTAAACTCATCATAGATAACAGGCTTTATTTTAATTTTGTACGCCAGACGCGCATTTTGTCTACAAAAGACTCATCAGTGACGCTCGAATCAAAAACATCAAAAAGGCCAAATATAGTACATAGTTGAAGAGCATTTGGGACAACAAAATTCCAAAAAGTTTTGCCAAAGCTAAGATAATCTATTCCTGGAGTAGAAAATCAATAGTATTTCGAAAAATTCAAAGTTTTGTCAACAGTTAATTTATAGTTATGATCCTATCAATGATAATTCATATAAACACAGAAGTTCTGAATACTGGGCTGGTGATATAAATGTTAATATTTAGCTCTTTCAGTCTGGTACATGACATTGTAAAGACACGCATAGAAATACGAACTTTTCCGGTGAAGGACAAAACTCAAGAATCTTCTATTGTTTAAAGTTTCAAAGTAGATTCTAAGTTTATACGGATTTGCTCCGGTGAATACTCTTTAAACGATAAACAACGGAATGAGGTTTGTTGAGAAGTATCTTTGCCTATATTAAGTGTGTCATTAATACTCTTTAAACGATAAACAACGGAATGAGGTTTGTTGAGAAGTATCTTTGCCTATATTAAGTGTGTCATTCAAATGAAGACTATTCGTAAATTTCAATATAGGTTTTGTCAAAATAACATATACCATTCGTGGAAAATCCATCCTGCACCATGTTCCTGTACAACTTACAACTATTAACACTCACCTACATTATATGGTAATCTCTATTCACAAACGTCTTTATAATACTAAATTTCTATAATTACAAAGATTTAAACACCAAAGGCCCTTTTCCGGTCCTAATAATCAACTGTTTTGTGACATTTGAAGTTTTACTTATTTCAAGAAGTCAAGTGTCATTTCAAACCTTTTATCAATTCCTGTCAAAATGTACGAACCAACCATTGGTTTTTTAATGTTTTTCTTTAATACGGACATTTATTCTTTTCAATTATTCCAAGTTCAACACGTAATTAACGAATTTACATTTGAGCGGTAATGACAGATCAGTGTAGAACTTGTTAAAATCATCTTGTAGATTAAGTGACTTCCAATTTAGTCTTTTGTATGGAGCAGTATTAAGTGTTATTTTAATTCAATACTACAGGGATAGGAAATTAAATGGAGAAATAATGAGTCTTATTTTATGATCAAGCAGTACTTGTAGCAAAATACAGTCAATGTATTTGATTCTACGTTCCTCTATTCAATAAACACGTGTCACATTCTATGATAGACGACCTTTACAAGTGCAATTACGTATGTCTATTCAAATGAATTTTATATCCACACACGAACCAATTTGTATTTGATTTGGAGTTTAATATAAAAGAACCTCCTCAGCCTCTTTCTTGACTACTAACGTAGAGCTTGATGATAGTGGTCACCTTAATAATAAAAAGTATGACCGTTAGGACAATAATGTTCTATCCTCCTTAGTCAAGCAGTACATTTCTCTTTTACGGTCAAAGTGAGTACTTTCCTAATTATGTTTGCCAAGAACTATAGTTGTCACATGAAACAGTTCCGTAATGCATCCATCAATGACTGTTTTATGACATGTTATTATTAGAGTTGCTAAATATAAGTATTTATAGATTATAAGATGGCATTCTATATATCGGCTCTGGTATCCTCCTGAGACTACCATGTCGTAGCCCAAGGTTCCGATTTTAGCCTTTGATGTTACTAGGTCAGAAATGGAAAATTTAATGTAATGATCTTTTATCATATATTTAGCAGATGACATGGGAAAGAAGAAATTGACTTTAGGTGTAATACCACCATTGATTTTCCCCTATTAGTCTTTGTTAAATTTGCATATAAGAAAATAACCATCACTGGAAGTTAACCAATCAAATTTCCCCCTTTTTTAACCCGTGTACAAGCTTTAGTAACCATGTAACCTCAAGTTTCCAAAATATTCTGTAGAAACCCCAAATAAAAAAATAATGGTGCTTTGAAATACCCAAGATATATGTTTATGACCCAGAAATGTTTTACTGCAATGAAATGTAGGATCAACTACCTACAACTGTCAAATTCAAGGGAACATTTTTTTTCGACCTATTTTCGTATGCAACCGGATGTGACGTACTATGATTTGGTGGTATTACACCTAAAGAAGACTTTTTTGTTAAATAAACTGAATGTGACTTTTTTCCTTTGTAAT